TTGAGAAGAGAATCGAGGAACACATTATAAAAGCTGGTGTATTCTTTCCGAATTAAAAGTGAGTGATTTCTGGATAAGGACACTTGCTGTTGTTTCAGGTACTCAATTTGTGCCATTTTCCAGCTCACATGTATATCCATCAACCAATGTGGTGAACCCCCACCTGGGTGGGGGTTTTCAATGCTGAGGCAGATGCTTGGCATTATAGCAAGCACCAACAGTTACACTGTCCTGAGAAGCAGAATATTTTTCCTTGGATCCTTTCCGAGTAGTGGCTACAAAGTTGGAAAACAATTCCCATTCTTGCGAGGTGACAGTCCCTCTCTCAACAATCAAACTCATCAAGAAGCTTCTATATGCCAACCTCTTTTGAAGACCATCTCTTTGTCAGAAAGCAGTGTGCGTGGCCACAATATGTTCTATGACAGGTTGACAACTCGAGCTCATGACTCGGATTGTGCTCTCTCTCTTCTGTCATCACCGCAGGCACAGACATCAGGGATCAGCTTGAACCACATTGTGCAGCCTAGCTCAATCCCTCTTGTGCAGCCCTTAGGCCCCGGCCTTAACAAACACAGTTTCGAGCCCATGGATTCCGTTCTGGTATCTAACAGTAGGGATGTTAGTGTTCACTGCCCTGGAATGTTTCACGTCGGATCTGACGAGTCATCCTCTGGGAACGAAGCTCCTCAAACACTACCCTTTCACTGGGGATAGTAACAAATTCTGGTGCTTTCACCAGGCAAAATAAACCTGGATCCTCCCTGTGATGAACCTGATGGAATTCACTGTTTTAAAATTTGCGAGCTTGGTGAAATTTTCTGGTTTTCAATGGTAATCAGCCCCGTTTTGGACTGTTCCCCGAGATACTGCAATATCTATCATCAAATGTTGGTTTTTTCCATCCAGTTCCTGTTAGTCCTCGTCATAAGACCATTAACTCTTTTTTTTTTTTTTTTTTTTTTTTTTTTTTTTTAAATGTTATTTTTTTCACTGTGACATCGGGCCAAAAAGCTGGGAATTTATGGCTTCAATGAGGGGGGGGGGGGGGGGGGGTTGTTTTATGTGTATTTCAGATCTCAAGACTAAGTTTTTGTTTGGATTCGGAATTTAACAAAACCAGTACCATATAAACTAGAAGGGTTTGATCAACAACTGGAAAATGTGTTGGGATTAGGGAGAAAGATGTAACTTGAAATATCTGGCTAGTATAATATAACAAAAAGTTTGTGGGTTATGTTGGGCTTAAGCTGATAAAGCATTGCGTTCTTAAAAAGAAAGCAAGCAATTAGAATAGGTGTGATATATCCAGAAATTGATTAGGTGGCAGTTGATATGCTTCTGTTGTGAGCATCTTAACTATTAGATACCAAAGAAGATGCAGTAATAGGTTCCAACAGTGTAATGGCAAATCAAGACATGTGACAAACTGGTAATAGACTAGTGCAGGATTAGCAATTAAGTGGCAACAAATGTAGTAACCTTCTCCTTTTAATAATCACCTATGACTCATTATTCCTAGTGGCAACCAGAAAAACTCTGTGAGCTCCCATACTTACAATTGCTTTATATATATTTTCCTCATTACTATGTTAATTTTTTTGGGTGTGAAAATTATTATTTTTAGATAAACTATGGTTATCTAGTTGTTCATTTTACCAAGTTACTATTGATGTTGTATCTTTATACGACTATTGAGAAGAAACACATGCAGATAAGAGAGGACACTCTAGGGTGAGGGACCCAAGTTAGCATTAGGAAGTGAATGATCAGCCTTACGATGATAGTACACGTAACAGGGAAATCACAAGCTTTGTTAGAGTAAATTAAAAAGATAAATTTTATTCAATTATATTCTTCAAGTACGAGCTTCCTAAATTAAGGAAGACGGTTAGTCCTTGTCGAATAACGTAAGTTTGAATGTGTGAACAAAGTTCGCCAAAAGCATGTAGAAAAAAAATGGCATGCTCCTTATACCATCTATCAAAGAGATGGGTGCAGGAAGCAACATCAAATAATGTTTTAAGAGCATCAATAAAAAAGACAAGAAAGTGAAAGGCCACTAAAGAGGAGGTGAAGTTAGTTCAAATAGTTGACAAGTTTGGAACGGAAACCCGCCTAAAAAAAAAAAAAAAAAAAAAGGGCTTGAGGTCAAGCTCCGAATGATTCAATGGTTGGTCTCTATTTCTTTAAAAAATTTGAGGGGAGAACTTATTTCGTCTAATTAAAGAAAATTCAATAATTATACTATTATGACGAGATAAAAAATTGTAAATAATGATTTTTAAATTATGACCTACTCGAATAAAAATATTTTATTTTAAGTACAAATCTAAATGAAAATATTCTTAGATAATATATAGTGGACGAATCCGATAAAAATAAGTAAAAAGTTGGACATCTTTAGTACGCGAGATGACTCGTCACTTCTTTGGGTAGAATACCATTGTTTCTCTCTTTTGTTACTTTTCTTTTTTTAATTGGTGTTCATTTTCTCTATTTGTATTACATAGAGTGACAGATTACTTTTTTTTTTTAAGTATTCAAGTGGCTTTGAGTTACAAAAGTATAATTTAATTATCTGACTCTAATTAAAAAAAAAAAAAAAAAAACTCTCTCTCAAATTTTTTATCACTTTTTTTTATAAAGCTACAAAATTATAGATATATATATAATAATAGTGATTCTCCTTATTTTCATGACAATAGAGGTATAAAATAATAACATACTCATCTCTTTGCTCTTCTCTCATCTTCTCTATTATTCTATATTATTAGTCAGTTTCTTAAGAAGGTTGTAAATCTTTAAGATTAATCATTTAACAAAAAAAAAAAAAAAAACACTTTAAAAATACTTATACTTTCTGTAAAAGAGTATTATTTAAAATATTAAATGACAAATAGGTGAAGGTAATTTTTGAGAGAGTCTAATCATTTTTGTAGATCCAAATTTTTTAGACTAAATGTATGTGGTTTTTTGCTATGAAATAGCAATATAGGAAACCAAATGCACTTTATTTTTATTATTGAAGAAAGGTGAAGTGAAAATAATTGGGCAATGTAAGGTAGTCCGAGTGGAATATGTTAAGCTGCTGGACAACAAATTTTTTACCTATATATGTTTGACGTGATTTTATAAATAAATAATAGTGCAAGAAGCCATATTACTCAGATTTTCTTTATTAATAGTGATGATATTGATGACGAGTATTATGGTATTAATAATAGTAAATGGTAACAAAAATAAAAATATCAATAATAAGATGGTGGTGGTGATAACATGAATAATATTGACAATAACGGTACCGATAATTAAAATAAGTGTGATAATAGAAAAAATGATATAAAAGTAAAGACAATAACAACTTCGCTAGCAATGATAATAATAACATTAGTGATGATGAAAAATACTATTGAAGAAATAATAACGATGATAATAAAAGATAGTTATGACAATAATAATGGTCTTTAATTTAAACTGAAAATATTAAAAATTTTAAATATGTATGATTATATGATTATTAATTTTTCAAATCATAATGACTATGAAGGCAAGAAATTATATGATTATTTATTTTTTGTTAATATAAACTAAAAATTGGATAAGTTCTTGAAAATAGATTAGATAGAATTAGAATTAGAATTAGAATTTGAGATAATTTTAATTTTGAATATAATGTAAAATAATTATTTACAGTTTTCTTATTTTATTGAAATATTTAATATTTATATTTATCTAGATTATTGTTTTTATTAATATTGTAATTAAATAAATGATCTTATATATTTAAATTCATTAAGATTAGAATAATAATTCAATTAAGAATACCTTTGTGCAATTCAATCTCATTAGAAATGAAGGATATGCAAGTAAGTTTCTAACTGAAATTTCCTCTCATTCAATCCCAAGATACAAGCACCAAAATTTTTTAATTTTTGTACAGCTTTGTATTGTATTAAAAAGATAAAAATATTAATCACGCATTTATGATTTAATATATTATTTTATTTATTAATTATAATTTATAATTTTATTATGTGTTTTAATTTTTATTAGTATTAAAAATTATTTTGTAATTAAACATGATAGATAATTTGGATCAACAAATATTTATTCAATCTGATCTGAACTGAAATAAAAATAATTTGATCTAATTTGAACAAATTCAATAGGATTCTAATTAGATAAATACATTTTTAGTTAGGAATGTTGCATCAGTGGTTTGATTAATACTCAAATAACAAAATATTAATTCAAAACATTATTATTTTTTAATTTCAGAATTTGTAATAATATTATTTATTTATTTAATGGTATTATATATTTAAATATATTTAAAAAAATAATTTTGGTATGTTCCATTCCATAAATTTATTACAAAAAACTGACCAAAGAATTCCAAAAAATCCAACCTCCTAAATCAGTGTGGTTTAACGTTTCTGTTCATTTCTTCCACAGTCTACCCTAAGCAGTGAAGCGACCGCGACAGAGGAGGTCCGAGCAGCAGGACTTGACTCGTGGTTGCATGGAACAGAGCAAGATGAGCGTGCTGGTAAAGAGGGTCTCAACTTTTGGCTACAATAAGAGATTCCGGGGGGCAGAGGAAGAAGGAGAAATCGGGGGAGAAAGAGAAGAAAAAAAGAGAGTTAGAGCGAAAACGAAAGGAAGTGATCCGGAATGAGGGAGGTAACAAGGAAGGACCTGGAGGAATCAGGCTTTTGTTCTTTTTTGAGAAACGAAGAGACAGAGAGGCGTAACTAGAGGAGAAGAAAGAAGAGATGGGGAGAAATTAAGAACAAGAAATCAGAAAGAAAAACAAAAAAGCGGGGGTGGGGGGTGTTGGGTTTGGTGGGGGCGAAGCAGAGCTGAGCAGCAATGAGAGCTAATAGAGCCCGAGAAAAACTATTTGTTCTGTGAACCAGCACTGGTAAAAATTTTGAGCCTTTTGACATTTTCTTAGGTGTTGGCTTTGTTAAATTTTAATAATTGAATATCGAGGAAGATGATAATTGTGCATTGGTCGGTAGGCTTAATGTCCTTCTTTGGTGATTTTGCTTATTTTTCTGCTGGTGTGGTTTGTTGTGAACGTTGATTGAATTTCAAGGTTTGGATTTCGTTCCTGTCTGAAGATTTCTAAATGACAGATTTACTAGCAAACTAAGTGCTTCATAAAATGCTTAAGAGTATTGGACGTGGAGATTTCCACTTCAAAATCGTTTCATGCATTTGTCTATCAGTTTTGCTTTGGGTTCCCATCTGATTTGGATTTCTTTTTAAATAGTTGAAACTGTATGAGGAATTCCTCAAATTGGTATTGAGGTTACCTAAAGGATGAATGTTGATCTGGATAAAAGGTGTTTTATTGTACATGATATAAATTTCAGCTTTTGTCAACCCTATTTGCCTTAGCATGGTTCATTAAGTACGAAGAAGAAGATCAGCTCCTCCCATGTTTAGGCTTTGAGGGTGCCTGTTAGCTCACCAGCTGCTTACCAATAGAACCCCTCTTGGTTTTATTGTCCGATCCGATGTTTCTTGTGCTTGTTATTTGCACCTATGTCTTGCTTATTAGTCTGCTCTTTATTTTAAGTTGCTTTTCAA